TCATAGAAATAAATCTCTCTACTGTTGGTTTATCTCTTACATTGTGGTTGTGCAGACTGGTATTTAACATAATGATCGCAAATGAAAGCACATAGCACGTATCTGAAATAAATTTGAAAAAATATTTATCTTTCTATGTATCGTGGCACAAACCTGTAAAATTAATATATAGTTCATCCTGACTAATAGAGTCAAAAAATCCTGAACACTACATGAAAGCAAAGTCTCAAATCTGTCCTTAAGCTGTTGAAGTAAGCCAAAGAAGGAAAAATTATTTAGCAATTCAAACCAAAAGCCAGTATGAGAAAAACAGTAGGAGGGAATGCAAAATAAATAATTAAAACTGTTTTAAATCATTGCTATCACCCTAAATTAACATTTGAATTGAAACACTTAGGTATTGTTGGGCAAAACATTCTTTCTTTGCAGATTTTGCCTAAATATTATTGTAGCTTCTACAACAGACTTGGTCAATCAAGCTCCTACTCAAAGTACTTTCAAAGCTTTCTCCAAAGAGAAGGAACAGTCTCTAAATAATAATGTTTGAATTGCATTTAAACAGACTGAAAATTACTTTGGCCATTGTCTCCTTGCAGAACAACATATGTGATCCAAAAATAAATATATATTAAGAGCTTCTGTATCTATTAAGACTATTAAGACCTCCTATTGTTTTCTGTGACTAACCTGTAGACTGGAAGACTCCTGGGTTACAAAGGCAATAGCGTGAAGCAAAAGCTTCCATCATACGATCAATTTTTTGAGCTTCTCCTGGGAGTCTGAAGCTCCACAGAAACTGCCTAGAGAAGGAAAGAGTAGTTGTTAGACTCCTTCCAATATTTATATATTAAGCATAGATCACTAATAATTGGAAACAAACAAAAAAAGTCAGCAACATCTATACAAAATGTCCGAGAAATATGTTCCAAATCTCTCAACAGACAAATCAGGAGCTATTATAAAGCAACATGCACAGATGGCTAGCCCAGTAATTCAGCCAGCAACACTGCATGCTATCAGGCAAGATAATATGGCAGTTCATATTCTAAGACACTCTTTTTTTCCAGTCTAGTAAAAAATTTTCTGTATGCATCCCATTTTTGCCATGAGAATGCTACAAGGAAACAATCAGTTCAATCCTCCCTGGGTTTTCTGGCTACTGAAAGCAATAAACACTCAGCTAGACTTTACTTACAATGTAAAAAGACAGATTACATAAAATATTTCTGGCAGGGGAGAACAGCAAGGAATACGAAACCACTTAACATCTTTGCCTGAACTCATCAAAAACATTTTAGCAATAGGAAAAACAATAAGAAAAGCCCCAGTGCTTAGAGAGGTGCTGCCCATCTACACTAAGTTCACCCTACAAGAATCAGATCCTGATCTCAAAAAGAAAGACCCATGGTATCATCTCAGTAATTTTGTAATATACACAGGAGATTTGTGCTCCTGTTTAGCAGCATGAACTGGAAGACAGTTTTTACTTTCATAGCTCACTCTTTCTGCATATAGGTACAGTGGAATGCATACAGGACAGAAGTCTTCACAAATTTACTTTTGACACACTGTGGCACTAAAAAGCTCCACTGAATTTAATCACTTATTCTCCTCTTTCTTAGCAAAATAATTATCAGAATTAAAACAGGATCTAAACCAGCAAAGTTACATGCTCTGCCATGCAAAACAAGTTCTCGATGTTCCCTGCACGTTGGGTGCCAATATAATAACCATTTATTCCTGTCCTTGTCAATTTTCATTTTAGGACATTAAAGTGGCACAAGCCATCTTTAGTTTGACAGCTCTACATACTATCTTTTACTCACCTCATGCAAGGTTCCAACCCAGATCACGAATTTTGTAAGCTACCAAAATACAAACATTTAATAGTAGCAGCTGCTAAGGAAGAATAAAGTCAAACCTAACATTAAATTGGGTAAAAGAGATAGGAGCATGAAGCCTCCCAGATAAGCTTCTGAAGCCAGGGAAAAGGCTTCCTTTGCTCAAGCGTCAGGCAGCTCAACTTATCATTCCCACATCACTCAACCGTAGCAAAGCTGTTCTGACTCCACATCACAAGGCACTGCACCAGAGACAAAGACCACATGGACACTTCAATTTATCTGGTGTCAGGAGGATGTCACCTGTGGCAATGAAACTGCCTGTACTGTCTAAATCAACTTAATTTGCTAGATCTATTCCACCAAGACAAGAAGGAACTTCACAAGGTCACTCACTGTATGCTGGCAGCCAAGAGAGATCACGCAAACTGTTCACTCATCAAGAGGAAAAAAGTATACTAAGATATTACACTTTCTTTCACATGACAAGTGGGAAACTCTGAGGAAAGCAGAAGGAAATTACTTGATTCAAAGTTTGCCTCCTTGCAACTGAACATCATCACTAATTATAGTCAACAGGATTCCCACCCTTCCCACCCAGAGGAACAAGTTGAGGTGGGAGAAAAGGAGATAGAAGATGGCACCAAAGAAACAGATTATTTCCCTGGGTTAGGGGTTTGTTTATTTTTTGCCTATCTCTGTGCCAAGATATAAAATAGATCTTCAAAGGTCCACATATGGCAAGCACACCAAAGAGTTACAGCTATGCTTTTGCTGTTCATATTTGTCTGGAATAATTAAAAGTTTTCCCCATCAAAAGGCAGCACACACACAAGCAATTGGAAGGGTTAAAACAGAGCTGTCTCTGCTAGCTTGCACAGTAATGCACATAATCTTGCTCAGCTGTAGATCAGCTTTCTGACAAATTGTCACAGTGACTCATATGAACATGCAGTTCAATAAAGGAAGAACAGGCCAGAAAAAAGAAAGAATTTACTCACCTTAAGGCTTGCACAAGATTGAGATCAGCGAACTCATGGAGTTCAACAAAAGCCTGAAGAACTTTAATATTAAATTCATCTCTATGAAAGACAAAATTGGAAATAGACTATCACAATTCTGAACTTTAAAGGCTTGTTAGTTATCTCTATTTGCTTCTGAGAAGAAGTGAGGAAATTAATGATCACACTGATCAAATAATAGAATCGCTTAGGTTGGAAAAGGTCTTTAAGATCATCAAGTCCAACCATTAACCTAACTTTACCAAGTCCACTGCTAAACCATGTCACTAAGCAACATATGACTATTAAATCAAGCCATCAGAAATAGTTTACACATTTATTTGAAGAGGTATTTTAATATTTAATATTAGTATTTTGACCATTTTTGCTGTTAGGTTAAAAAGAGACAGTACACTTGAACTGATTTTAGCACTGCTTATTTAAATGGCCTTGCCTTCTTAGCTTCACATTCACTAGTATTGCACCTGCCTTGATACGATACCTGATATATCTATCCAGTGAAAAGTCTTTTGGAGAAATTGTGTCATGAACTCCTACAACAATGTTTAATGTAAGATTAATTTCTTTAGGAATGCAACAAAGGAAAAACAAATCATGCCATTTTTTCCTCCAAGAACAGAAAATATTAAAGCAGTATATTATTTTATGTACTAAGATGAAGAAAAAAAATGCTCCAAGTGATTGTACCTAAGAAAAAAACCAGCTTCTTCAAACAGCCACTTAGTACACACTATATCCTTATTCCATTCTCAAAAATTATTACAATGAAAGTTCACTAAAATCAGAATAGGTTTTGTTCAGCCTTCCTCTCACCTATCTTTCATACCGCCGTGTAAACCATAAGCCAAATTATGCCCTGTTTGATAAGAAGGTGTTTAAATGCAAAACATTAACAAACACAAACCTATTTGGACACAGGCAGAATTTAGCCTACACTGAGCTCATATGCCAGAAGCATGAAGGTGTATAATCCTCAGGGTTGCTGTAAATACATCACCAAGATAAAATGTTGCATATCAGCCTCCACCCACAAACAGAAAGGTGTGCAGAATTACCTGTTGCATTACTAACTGCAGTCTGACTAACCTGTAACACTCACAAGTAAACACCTTAAACCAAGTCTCTCATTCATTAGGATGTCCCCATTCTGTTTGCAGACAAACACATCAGCTCTGTCAAGCAAAACATTTCAATTCTCGTGAAAATTAGTAATGCACAATTAACTGCATGACTGCTTTTCAGTGCAGTGAAATAAAGTCGCATAATAGTATAATAAAAGAGAGCACTCAAATGGGTACTTTTGTTATTGTAAGCCAAATACTGATTTTGCTTTTATATATGTAAAGCTGCAGTAATTCAGAACAAATATTAGCCTTATACTCTAATTTTTGCTCTTCTACGTTTCAGTGTAGGCTGGATTAATAGTGATAATTGTGTTGGGTACAGGTCCAAAAAACCAAGACAAATATCATGAAAGGCCTAGGAAGCCACTGACCTAACATATAAAGAAATCTTCAGTCTTGTATAGACCGTAACTCGTCACTTAATGTACATTTTTAGGTACTATCTTGTTCCATTTTACCACTCACTTTTTTCAGTTTGCTGAACGCTGTAACACTATAAAAGTCAATAATTTAAAATGTAACTCCTTATGGCAGAATGTTATACAAATACTTCATTCTATTGACTATCCCAGTCTAATCTTCAGCTACATTTATTTAGAATGCGGAAGTAATTCATGATGGGCCCCCAAGAGGGAATGGGAAAGTAAAAGAGAATGTCCTCAGACTCCAAATGCCTTGATAAAAGATACTATGTAACTCAACAAACCCTCATCTTTAATATGCACTACCATTTGTGTATCACAAATCACTTAATAGCCTGCTCCTGAGGTAGTCACAAAAGCAAATCTAGTACCATAGGACCACTTCAATTGTCACACTCTATTTTATCCCAGGGTATTTGTTTTACCCCAGGATATAAAGGTGTGATACATTATTTTCAGAGGAACATGAATAAAAATTATTCTGTGATGAACCAAATCCTCATTCCAGACTTGTCTACTTTGAAATTTCCATATGCATTCCTGAAAAATGAGACTGACATCTTTTTACCTCCATCTCCCGTAATAATTCACATAAGGGAAGAAAAAAAAATAGACAGAAATACCATTTGCTTTCCCATTACAATATTAATGTTACACTGTTCACAGAAATGAAGAAACACGCAAAAAAACCAATTCAAGTAGACCAATTCAATACATTGAATAAAAGCTCCTTTTAAAGCAAAAAACAATTTTAAATTTCTTTTTTATTTCAACTGCTCCTTAAAACAGACAGGTTGCTTCTGCCTCATTACAAAATAGAAGCAGTATGTTAAATCTTTTTTTCACTTCTCCCAAAATTTTATTATGCAGTTAGAATCATAGAATGTCTGGGCTGGAAGGGACCTCCATAGGTCATTTAGTCCAAGCCCCAAGCAGGGACATCACCAACTAGGCCAGGCTGCTCAGTCTCATCAAGCCTGACCTTGAATGTCCCCAGGGATGGGGCCTCCACCACCTCTCTGGGCAACCTATTCCATTGGTCCATCACCCTCATACTGAAGAACTTTTTCCTAATGTCTAACCTAAATCTACCCTTTTCTAGCCTAAAGCCATTACCCCTCATCCTGTCACTACAAACCCTTGTGAACAGTCCCTCCCCTGCTTTCCTGTAGGCCCCTCTCAGGTACTGTAAGGTTGCTGTAAGGTCCCCCCAGAGCCTCCTCTGCTCCAGGCTGAACAGCCCCAACTCCCTCAGCCTGTCCTCACAGCAGAGCTGCTCCAGCCCTCGCAGCATTTTTGTGGCTCTCTGCTGAACACGCTCCAACAGCTCCACATCCTTCTTGTGCTGGGGGCTGCAGAGCTGGACACAGACTCCAGGTGAGGTCTCACCAGGGCAGAGCAGAGGGGCAGGATCACCTCTCTCCATCTGCTGGCCACGCTGCTCTGGATGCAGCCCAGGATTTCATTGGCCTTCTGGGCTGCTGCTGCACTTTGGTGGCTCGTGTCCAGCTTCTCATTTACTAGTACCCCCAAGTCTTTCTCCAGTGAACTGCTCTCTAACGTGTCCTCTCCCAGCCTGTATTGGTAATGTTGGTTGCCCCTCCCCAGGTGCAGGACCCTGCACTTGATACATTTATACAAAGTTTCCTAATCAAGCTTTGCTATTCAGTATGACCATTACATTTGTCTGCATTTAAGTCTTGAAAAATGCAGAAGATATAATTGAATTGCATATTTATCTGTATACATATTTGATTTTAAAGAAGGTTGCCCTCTATTTTCAGATTAGACCACAGTGCTGCCCAGCAGCATGCCTGCCAGGGATGGAAAAGAGCAAGCAATAAACTCTTCAATTTTAAATGTGAACCATAAAGAGTCATATGAATATTACCAGTGATTCCAGTGGGCCTGGACATACTGGTAAGACCTTTCTGCATGAGACAGCAGTTCTAGGAATAGGGCTAGAAAAACTGGCAGTATTTCAGAAGACAATCTCAAAACCAGACTGCTTTATACAAAGCTTTGTTACAGTTTTGCAATTATGGACATTAACATACAAGTGATTTTATAATACTGATTGTCCAAATAGTCAAGAGAAACAACACAAAGCTGTTGTATAACAATTGCTGAAATTTCTACGTATGCTGTACAGAAACTTCATGGCAAAGACCTACTTTCAAAATATACATATTACAGTAAAAACTTCTATTAAACCTATTAAAGTCAGGAGGAAATTGCTGAGAACAAACTAAGCTTCTGATGCTGTGAACAGATTATGGATGCCTCAAAAGGGATCTGCCAGAACATATCACTACAGGAGTATATCCTAAATGAGTCAACTTTTAAACCTCCATAGCTGGCACCTAAAGCAGAACATGTGCAAACATGCAGATACACTTACTCCAACCTACTCTTCAGTTCTGCCTCTTTAAAAATCAATTCCTGGGTTGTGGAGCAATGGAAGTAATTTGCATTTTGGTTGTGTTTTGCAATAGTAACCATAAATATGCATGTTGCATGTTTATTGTACTAGGATTGATAAAGATGCACTGTGGCTGCTCTCTGAGACACCTACTTACTAATAGGAAGTCTGTGTGAAGGGAAGACAGCACTAAATCCTGCTTATAACTATTGTCCCAGGACCTACCCATTTTAAGAAGTAATTTCTTTACTATCCTATTATTAGTGATTGTAAATCACTCCTTGTCTGGGCACTATATCAAGAGTTACTAGAATTGTTGCAATACAACTCTCAAACATTCCAAAAGCATATGGTATTAAATTCCATACTATAGCCAAATCTAAGGGTATTTTCTCGAGATAGTAACTTATGATGAATTAAATATCAGCATAACAGAAAAAAAAATCTATCCCAATACCGTAGCAGTTTTATTTCCTGCTGTAGCTTTTACAGATCTCAGAGAAGTAGCTCTCTCATGCAGCCTGTGAAGAGGAAGGTAACTACCAAAATCTGTAAGTATGCTCTGTAAACTCAAGAACAAAGTTTCAATATTCTTATTTTACCTTTCACCGAGGTAATCTCCAATTACCGTTTTATTTAATCCTTCTCCTTTGTAAAGAAACTGTGCAATGTCTTCTGCAGTGTTCTGCAGGAGGTCATTTTCTATCAGAAACTGTATTCCCTGGGAAGAGCAATTCCAGAGGAAAAGCGATGTTACGTTTTCTTCAACAAGCACTTCTGTAATACCACTCATAACATTTGGTATTAATATACTGACATAGCCACATATGTAGCACATTAAGAATTACACTAGGCTACAGAATTACTGTCTTTTTTTAATGAAATGGTAAACAAATGTTTTTCAGTTAGATAAGCAATATTTAGTACTGGTTTAAATATTAAAATGAGAACACATTTTTAAGGCTAGAAGTACTAGGTGGCAGTTTGAATCCCCCAACAACAGAAACATCAAATATTAATTGAATAATGATTCCATGTTGCTCTTTGGAATTAGTGTGCAACTTGGCCTGTTCCAAATATTGCATAAATGTCTGCAGAAACATAATCTGTAAAATCATATAATGAAGAGGTACATAGGAATAACTTAATTACCATCATGACACAAAATAAAGCATGTCTTATAATCTACAAACTGCAACCCAATACATCAAGCCACTACTTGCAGCAGAAGTTACAGCTGAGGAGACTGAAACCGGTTTACAGAGTTTCTGCTGACACCGGGATTACCGGTGACTTCTGGTTGTGCTAGAACTAAACTATTCACAAAGGACTTGAACTAGTCTACTCACAAAGCACTGTTCATGAACCAGTGAAGTTTCTACCATGGAGCTTCTACCCAAGCCAGGTGGAGAGTCTTACCCTGTCCCTCAGTGGGTACTTGATCAAGCCCCTGGACTCCTATGCCTCCATAAATTACTGGCCCTATAACTGGCACACTCTAGGGATGCCCAGAGAACTTTCTGCAAAGTGGTAAAGAAAGGAGACTGAAAGTTATATAAACATTATATAAGGATGAAAGGGATGTTACTCCAACACTCAGCAAGTCATGAAGACATAGACTCCAATAAAGTTGTTGCTAGTCCTGCTGATTTTATAAAACTCTTAACAGCATGCTAGTGAAAAGTAGGAATGGCAGCTGTAAATAACCTTAATGTCTGAGATTCCAAATACGTACAAATGGGGAATAATAAATTATTCCAAGTCTTTCCTACTAGATTATTTCACAATTTCAGAAACAGTAGAAGTTTTTCCGTTTCTGCAAATGGAATATACTTCTTTTTTATTTCATTAAAACTGGAAAAACTTCCATTATTTTTTGATATAGCACAGGAGGCCCTGCAGTAACATTCAAAATAATAATTATACTTCTGTTTGGTGTGGGGTGTTTTTTTTGGGTTTTTGTTGTTTGTTTGTTTGGTTTTTTGGTTTTTTTTGGTTTTTTTTTTCGGTAATGAAATGACTAATGAAATAACACTGCCTGAAAAAAAGAAGTCAATTTTCATACCTAGTTTATCAAAGAAAATGAATTGTGACATTGTAAGGCTTGCAGCTTTTAAAAAGAAAGTCTGAAATGCAATTCTCTCAAAACAATTCTATCATCATCCAAAAACCTAATTTCAGTGACAGGCTCGTATTCTGACTCAGACAGCTTAATATTTTTTATAAGTAATTTCAGAACAGACATGATTTTGTGTGAAGAATATATCCATTTTATCTCAACGCAGAAATAGCTGAGCTTTCCTCAGAGATGATCCTTTCAAAGCTTATTTGTTTGAAAACCACATGTGACTATGAAACTATGTTTTTTCCCACACCAAGCTGTTCAAAAAGTTCTCTCAACCAACAGAAAACCTTCCTTGCTAAACAAAGAAATAACAATTGCAGATTCCCTTCAACACCTGGACCATATTATTAACACTTAGTGTAAACAAGACTGACCAGAACAGTTTTTAAAAAGTTGTACAAATTAGTGAAAAAGATAATGGACATGACTAGAAACATGGCAAACAAATTTCTTTGCATAGCAGCAGATACTTTAACATACTACAAAAATAAATTTAGTTTTCTTTTCTGGATTTTTTTTTCCTGGTTCTTGAGGGTCTTTTTTATTCATAATATGTTAAGCAAGCAGAAGTCAAATTGACAGGAAAAGGCATTTGTCTGGGACAACAATTCCAGTGTCTGGAATAAATGGCAAAACAGGTCAGCCAAATCACCATCAACTCCTACACTACCTTTTACCTTCATGCTGATAGGAGGTGGAAGACAGCTGTACTAGTTTGACCCCCACACAAAATTCATGGCTACAGAAATATTCAATATTCGCTACAAATATTGCATAGGGTTTTGGGTTTTTTTTTTTCCTTTAAGTCAGAGCAATGACACATGCTTTGAATCTCATAGCTTTTACAGTAACTCAGTTAGAAACTTTGCAGTTATTTATACCCTGCCTTTGTCACAGAGAATTCATTTTCTGGGCCCAATGCAGGCAGTGCCGACTTGAATGCAGTGAATTTCAAGCACAGCTTTAGGTCCTCTGCACAGGGATTCTTGAAGCTTTTTAGAAATTTTACCATTACAGCACTTTCCACACTAGCTAACCAAATCCAAACAGCAAGGTACCTGATATTACACCATGGAACCGTGTTAAACACAGTTACTCTGATTGAGGATTCCCAGGTAGGGGCAGGGAGAATTGTTCTACACGTAGCTTACACAATGACAAAATGTAAAGGTCTTAAATTAAAAATGTTAAAAGAAAATTACCTCACTGTGTTCCTACTAACATGAAAACACTAGAACTATGTTATTTGGTTTTAAAGAAGAAAACTTGGGGGATTCAGTGCATGTGTTATTACTCCAATTATTTCTAACTCCAGAGGCCATCTTCCTTCCCATTTATGAATGAAAAACATCCATTTTGCAGTGACCCCAAGTAAATTCTCTCAATATTAGAAGGACATATATTTTTGGACTGCTACTTTAAATTACAGACAGCTAACAATAAAATAATCTAGCTTTAGTGCAGCCAGCTATTGCAGGCCACTGCTGATTCACAGACATTATTAAGAAATTACTACTGTAAGTCTGTTTACCACATTTAAATTATGTTACAGTAGCAATGCAGCCACAACATCTATTTATAGAAGTAATTTCACTCCACAAGAACAGTAACAAAAAATAGTTAACATTGGAATGAAACCATCTGACATCATCCTGTGACTTTGCCAGAAACTTCTAGGACATGAAAGAGCTGGAGGACAACAGCAAACTATCAGGCTATTTGGGGGTATTGTGCCCTCAACAGAAATGAAGTTAGACAGTCACCAAAACGGAAAATAAAAATAAAAGGCATGGTCAGTAGCTTAAAAAGGGTTCTGTATCTCAAAGAACTTGAGTGTTTCTGTTAAACTGAAAACGGTCTGAAGAATAGCAGCATCACAGAACTTGGAACATTACAGAAAAGCTAAACAATTTCCCAAAAGACCTTAAAGAAGGCTCTTAAATTCCAAACAGAATCTCACTTACAAATAACAGAACACAGTAAAACAAAGCAAGGAAGACGTAAAATGAAAAGTAAAGGCTAAAGGTCAAATATGTCAAAGCAGATCTTTTTAAATATATCAGGGGAGGTCTGAGGTCTGTAAGAGCATGTGCAGGTCTCTGAATTTTCCAGAAAACTAACAATTATTTAGGAAAAGTAGAGGTACTGCAGATAAATGCAGTACTTTACTTCTTGGCTAAATGAATGGTAGACTTCTTGAAACTGGTAATCAAGTTTCTACCTGCAGGTGTTTGTACAAGTCATGTAAGCACACATATATATGTATTCAAACACAGCAATGTTTATAGATGTCTTTTTCACAAACAGAATTTAGTTATGCAAATATTAAAGTCTGTATGTGAAAAATTAAAAAACATATTATAGGTATTTTGGAGGAAAAAAATAGGAGGGCATAAAAAAAGAGTATAGCCTCTCTAATAATCAACCATCAAAATATTTTTTTAATTATTGCTGACATATCAACATAGAACACCTCTATCAGGTACAAACAATCTTTACACAAGTCAGCTCAACCAATACTGGGCATATTTGATTGTTGATAAATAACTTCCATTATAAAAATAAAGTTTAAGTGGAAAAAGGCACATCTGACTAGCACATGACTAAATGTCTGCTTCTAATTTAACCCTCTGCACAGTGTGTTATGGGATATACAAATAAGGCCTATGAAATTGTATTATCAGAAATGTTTTCTTAAGAAAACACAACTGTGTGTATCTATGGATCATATTACAAGTAGGAACTCTATTCCTGATAAGTGGAAAAAAATTCTTTACCTTCTTAGGGTCCATGTTGAATTTCTTCCTTCCCATGGCTATTTGCTTATTTCTTTGTGTAGTTTTGCTACACATGAAGAGGAGGAAGAAAACAACAAGCAGTTATCAGTTGCTATTTTACAACCACTACAACTTCCAGAAGAGTTTCTTATCATTTGTATTTTGGCTACTTTGTATTTTCTATTACAAAAACGAGACATTCACTTTTTATAAAGGGGAAAATCATGTCACAATTTTCAGTTCTTTCAAGTGATTACAGCTTCACAGAACTGTATCATTATCAACTGGACAGTCTATAATACTACCTTCTATCCAAGATATTCTCTATCCAAATCAATGACACACCCGAACAGGATAAAGTCAGGCTTTAGAGACTTCATAGCAGATGGAATAAAGGTGATCTAATGTTTGTTTAGCATTATAAAGCTATTTTTATTTGCTATCCCCGGAAGACCTGTTCCAAGGTCTTACTGGATCATGTCCACATGTTAGCATTACTTACCTTTCCTCTACACTAGTCAGATTATCAATTTCTGTCATAACTTCAGCAATTTCAAATTTTAATCTCTGCCAAAAGAAGGAAGAACAACATGTTAGCCTACATTAAAACACTTTCTGAAATAATCTATTATATGATCAACTAGGTTTTATTTTCTAATATTTGCTAGTCACCTGAAAAGTGATGAATCTTAAGGCTTTCTTAGATATTTAGCTTCAAGATTTTACCAGAACTGAATGACTATTAAACACATGGATCTGAACTCCCAATCTGTGTTCATGTCAGAGCATCAAGACCAAATTCCCATTATCCATTTCAGTGTAAGATTTCTTTACCCAGATTTCTCACTCACTCCTATCCTGTAAGCAAATCTGCTTTTTAATGAATTCTTGATTACACTAGTCAAATGTGTACATAGGTAAACATTGCATTATATAAATACAGAAGCTAGCATTTTTAAAAGCACAAGAACACTGCATAAATCCTATTCATTGTTAGTCAAACTTAGCTTAAGCCACTTATATGCTTTTAAAACAATTACCTAGAATTGATACCTAGACATGCAGTTTACTGTACCATTATCTACTGAAGCAATCTTCTAAGGACCTTTACAGATAAATCAATTACCTCAATATCATCAATCAGTTCTTTTTTCCTGCGACGAATATTTAAAAGCTCTTCTCTCTCTTCTAAGGAGAGGTCATCAGGCACTGGATAAAAGCAAAATGCACAAGCTTTGAGCATTTGCAAATATGCTGCATTCCAGAAGAATGGACAAAACCGATGAGGAAAAGTAAGTTTACATGAAACATCAGGGCATTTTTTTAGCTGGGGTAACTTTCAGAAAACAAAACAAGACTGAAACACAATTTATTGGACTTGATAAAATCATAAGTAAGGTAACTGAATTAATGACTAGGAAAAGCAACTATCTTTCAAAAGAAAAGTAGACAAAGGGAACTTGTAATCATGTAATATGTGGTAAAATTTGGCTCTACAACTTAATTGCCAAATTAAAGTCTAATATCATTCCAATTATCTCAGTTACAGACCAAAATTCTTCATGTAAATGAATTATGATTCAAAAGACATGACCGTCTTTCAGGGAAAAAAAGCCAAAGAAAAGCCAAAGCTGTATACAACTTGTTACTAAGATGTGTATCCTGGTGCTGATTTCAGACATCAGAATTTTAGCAGCACCTCTTTATCTGGTTGGTTTGTAGAGCAGAGATGCAGGTAAGTACAATACTACTAACACCCTTAACAGTGAACACTTTCCCTCAGCAGGATATACAAATAAATACACAGTCAAAATCAATTCAGACACAGTATCACCAACATGGTTTTGTATAACATAATTTAAGTGAGTGTGAAGTATTTAAATAATTTTTAGGTCTTTCGTTGGTTATGCCAAAACATGTATGTTACCTTGTTGATAAAAATTACTTGCTACTGAAGATGCAAACGTGTTTCCATACTCAGCTATGGCTGTCACTCATTCTAGCAGCAGCCCCTTAACCTGTAGTCTCTGCCTGACAACCAGCAAATGTGAAAAGTTATTCACACAAAACCTCTGCTTTTCTTGAGCCATCAGATCTTCTCTTGCTTGAAACTTTTTTGGGCAGAGATTACTCTCACTCACTTGCACAGCATTAGACACCAACCACAAATATTCACCTCCTTTGCAATAACAGTTTTAATGTTATCAGCTCTCTTGGGAATAGCTCCTTAATTGTAGAACAGCTTTTCATTCTAGCTCAGGAAGATACAACAACAAAAATAACTACAAAGGTATTTAAATGGTTCTGTCCCAATAGCAACAAGCAACACCAACGCAGGCATTTGAGATGGCCAAAGCTGTTTCTTTATAGACTGTAACGCTAGGGTTGCAAGCACAGTTTCAGCTTGTCAGGAAACTTTAAAGACACATTTGAAATAGTCTCTATTCAAATCTTAATAATGAAATATATTATTTTCAACATCCAGTGGTTAAGCTCCTTTCTTTTTAAGATTCAAATCATAACATAAAATCCAAATGGCAACAGACCTTCTCAGACATGAAGTAATTATGATAAATGATCTCATTTAACTACTCCAGATACAAATAAGATCAAATTACTTCCAGTTTAGGAAATTACAGTCTTCTGTTGAATGAATATGGGACTTCAACATGTTTATCTGTGTTTTTCCTTCATCTCACCAGAAACCCACTCACTTCTAAAAATTCCTTGCATGCACATACCAATAAGATTCTTTTCACATGAAAACTTATAAATACATGTGCCTACATCACATCTTTGTCTTACATGTTTTACAATCTTAGAGTACACATCAAAACTCATATAACTATATGAACACAATGTACATACAAATACCACAAATATTCCAATTTCTGTGGACTGGCAATTAAAAAAAAAAAAAAGACTGTTACCCAATGTTGATTATGAAAAAAGCAAACTGTGTATAGTCAACCACCATCTTGGCTGGGAAGTATGCTCAAGTATCCTACAAGTATTTTTGCAGCATAAGGGATGAGATTAGATCAAAGTTTTGTATTACCAGTATTTGTAAGAGTTCTTAATTTTTTTACTTTTTGCCACATGAGACGTTTTGTTAACTTCCTCCTTTGTTGGCAACTGGAAATACTAATCAGAACCCAAGTAGAAAATAATCTTTAACCTTTAAAGATTTAAAATTCGCAGATGGTGCTTGATTTTTCTTCAAGCTGAGGTACAAAACCTCCAGGTTATCACAGACTTTTCCTAAAGCAGAGCATCAGTGAGCGGTACTGCAGTTTCCTCTCCCTTATATCACTGTGAAGCAAAAGATCCCTGGGACAGGTTTGGAATATCTAGGACAAGTGAAATTGCTATTTGGTATCATCTCAAATTGTGACAGTTTTCTATGCTCAGGCAATCCACCACAGAAAAGAAATCAAACACCTGAATCCTTTTCCTACAACACCCAAAGTCTGATTGCTGTGTTTTTCCCTTTCCTCTGATCACAGCCGCAGCAGAGACAACCCTCACAGTGTAATTAATGATGCTGTTAGACAGAAAGGAAATAAACCAAACGGCGTCTGGCTGCCTTCTGCATTAGGAAATAACAGCAAGTATCCATCTGCCAGATGCAAGACAAGAAAAGTCTGCTGGAAAAGAAGATCTGCACTTGGAGAGCACTTAAATTAAACTGCAGATGAAGGTAATCTCTTTAAATAACGGTATTAATACCAGATCCAAAAGATTCCAGTATCTGCTGGTAAGAAGAAAAGACGCAGGAAACGCCTGAGCCCGGGTTAGGGTACTGCTCAGTTCCGAAAACTATCGGTATAGTCGATATTTGACTCCTGAGTGCCCAGTCCTAGCGTCACCACAAACTGGCACATGTGTCTGCCTCATTTTCATCCTTCTACTAGTTGTGTATCATCAGTGCCTCCCTTCTCCAGCACTGCTGTTCATGGTGCTAAGAAACTTTTTCAATGGAAAAATGGACTCACCAAAACGAAGTTTGTAAGAGACTGTATGTGGCATTACAGCCTGCAACTTCAGAAGCTGAAGGTATCTGCTCTAGGAGGGTACATGACTTTATGTCTATCGTCTCTGTTGTTTTGATCTTCTGTCTTAACCCAAAATGTAACAGTATTTATGTATTTCAATAAAGGCTTTTGAAATACTAACTTTGGAAGATGTGCCTACCTTGCCTGAAAGGAGAGACAGAGTGGAAGATACTCAGCTGTAACTAAAACCAACCAACCACCAAACGCTAATGAAAAAGGTCACCCATCATTAGTTCAACCATTTACTTACAACTGAGCAAAAGTAAGGATCTACTCTGCATTCCTCACATCAATTATCCTTTGCTTTTCAATGATGCCTAATGATTCAAAAACACCTAAAAAACATTAAAAGCTCTACATTCTGCTTCCAAATAAATAAAATTTTTCTTTGGTGATAGACTCAAATGAGGTGCCTTATGCAACCTCAATGCAGAGGCCACAGAAAAAGCCTGAAAATCATTTTCTTCAGAAAGCAAACCTGTAGAGCTGTAGTGCCCAGGTGTTCTTAGCAAGCACTATAATTTTTCCAGTTTGAAAAGAAAAATATTCATTTTATTTATCAAAATATTGGAAAAAACAGTTGAGATGTTTGGCATCAAGGCTGATGTTAGACTTACACCAGGCAAATGGTGGATCAAAACCAGCTGAAGAATAACAACAGTGCATTAAAACATCCTCACAGTCCTAAGCAAATATTGCAGAAACACAAGTGATGATCTGCCCTTGCAAGACCCCTTCCATAAGCCACCTTTTTGCTTTCAGCAGCTAGAATACTTACTGCTTTTTCTAACCTTGTGTTCACTTAATCCTTCACACTGAAGAGCTCATAGAGCATGTATTAAATATTTATTCTGTAAAACTAATTTTCTAGCTGTCTTTTCCAAGTAATTTCCAAGATTTTTGTCTTTCACCAATCTAAACACAAAGGAGGCAGGGTAGGAGAAGTTAACATGAACACTTAAATATTGAAAAAGAACAAAATCACTTCAGTACAGCAAACTAACTGCAGCTGCAACATGCTTTCAGACTATCTTCTAACCTTTAGGTAAAGACAATATTCTAGTGTAAGTTATTGGTAAGAAAGGTTTTCACAGAGTGTTTCCTTTTTCCAAAACTTCAGAGTTTCAGCTACTCTTAAACAGAAAGTCAATATACCTACTGATATTTTATTTAAGAGGAACAAAGTTCTTGTAAGTACAAATTATTTTTGGCCAAGTAGTCAGGAACTATTACTCCTACCACGAACAGAAGGGGAAAAAAAAAAAATTTCAATATATTACAACTTGGCCTATCTCTGTTCAATTACTCTAACTGATCTAAATGGACTTAAGTGAATTTCCTGTAAACAAACACTTAGTGGAATACTCACTTTTAATATAGGTTTGTTTACTCTGTGATAGAAACAAAAGAAAAATCCTAAACTATAGCTTGCCACAGAAATCAGCATATTGTTCTGCAGCTGTGATGTCACTTTGTTAAATATTTTTCCAGTACTGACAGACCAAGTTCATTATCCAAACAAGAACATTAGCCCAGAACTCTAACATTTATGAAGACATAAGAAGCACTTTTGAGCAAGCAGGGACCAAAAATGAAGTCCTTTCCAGACTGAGAAAGAACTACAACAGATCAGCTTGCAGAGAAAGTCATAGAATCATAGACTGTATTGGGTTGGAAGGATCCTTCAAAGGTCACCCAGCCTAACCCTCCTGCAATAAGCAGGGACATCTCCAACTAGGCCAGGCCGCTCAGAATCTCATCAAGCCTGACCTTGAATGTCTCCAGGGATGGGGCCTCCACCATCCCTCTGGATAACCTGTTTCAGTGATCTATCACCCTCACATTAACTTTTCGTAATGTCTAACCTAAATCTACTCTTTTCTAGCTTAAAGCCATTACCCCTCATCCTGTCACTACAAACCCTTGTGAACAGTCCCTCCCCTGCTTTCTTGTAGGCCCCTCTCAGGTACTGTAAGGTCAGTATAAGGTCCCCGCAGAGCCTCCTCTTCTCCAGGCTGAACAGCCCCAACTCTCTCAGCCTGTCCCACAGACTAGTGAAAATTATGAGCAAATCCCACAATAGGAGACTGAAATCTAGTACTTTCCAAGTCCATATCCCTTTTATCTTCATCTTTTTGTGGATGTCCCATCCCTGGAAACATCCAAGGTCAAGCTGGACAGGGCTCTG